CCTCTACAAAAATTCAACAAATCTGCGCCATAAAGTACTGTACACCTATTAAGTTCGGGAGACGGACTGACGCCAGACGGTTGTGACATACCAGTGTTTGCAGTGAGGTCATGATAGGCTAACCTATTGCAAAGCCAAATGTCTTTGATGAATCTTCCTTAGAAATAATTTAGGACAGTTTGTTCCTGACAGTTCTGTGTCCTTACACAGGTAACACCCTCAAGGTAACACCCTCAAGGTAACGCCCTCATTATCTAACACCTAGTTGGCAGATATGTAGGTCTTGGCACACACACCCACTCCTGCAGACACACACACACATTGGACCGCACACACACACACAAACACACACACCCACTCCTGCAGACACACACACACACATTGGACCGCACACACACAAACACACACACCCACTCCTGCAGACACACACACACATTGGACCGCACACACACACACAAACACACACACCCACTCCTGCAGACACACACCCACACATTGGACCGCACACACACACACACACACCCACCCACTCCTGCAGACACACACACACACACACACACACACATTGGACCGCACACACACAAACACACACACCCACTCCTGCAGACACACACACACCCACACATTGGACCGCACACACACACACACACACCCACCCACTCCTGCAGACACACACACACACACACATTGGACCGCACACACACACACACACACACACCCACTCCTGCAGACACACACACACACACACACACACACACACACACACACACACACACACACACACTCCTGCAGACACACACACACACACATTGGACCGCACACACACACACACACACACACACACACCCACACACACACACACACACACTCTACATGTAGTTGTCACTTAGTTGGCATATACAGAACATACATCCACACACATCTGAAAATATACATGTCTGCACACTCATTCACACATCATCCTCACACACACACGCACGCTATCACACACACACACGTACATCTGTGAAAATCAAAAAGGAAAGCCATTACATGGCTTCACAACAGGCTTACAGAAAGGTTGAATTATATTTTTATGTCTTATAACAGGCCTATGACCTTTCACAGAAATTATCCATAGAGCTGAACTTTCATGCAGGTATTATCAATAGAGCCTTCAGGTATGATCTATAGAGACTTCAGGTATGATCTATAGAGACTACAGGTATGATCTATAGAGCCTTCAGGTATGATCTATAGAGCCTTCAGGTATGATCTATAGAGCCTTCAGGTATGATCATAGAGCCTTCAGGTATGATCTATAGAGCATAGAGGTATGATCTATAGAGACTACAGGTATGATCTTAGAGCCTTCAGGTATGATCTATAGAGCCTTCAGGTATGATCATAGAGCCTTCAGGTATGATCTATAGAGCCTTCAGGTATGATCTATAGAGCATTGAGGTATGATCTATAGAGCCTTCAGGTATGATCTATAGAGCCTTCAGGTATGATCTATAGAGCCTTCAGGTATGATCTATAGAGCCTTCAGGTATGATCTATAGAGCCTTCAGGTATGATCTATAGAGCCTTCAGGTATGATCTATAGAGCCTTCAGGTATGATCTATAGAGCTAAGGTATGATCTATAGAGCCTACAGGTATGATCTATAGAGCCTATGTTGACTTATGAGCCTTCAGGTATGATCATAGAGCCTCAGGTATGATCTATAGAGCCTTCAGTATGATCTATAGAGCCTTCAGTATGATCATAGAGCTAGGTAGATTATAGAGCAAGGTGTATGATCATAGACCACAGGTTGATCTATCGCTAGAGGATGATCTATAGAGCCTTCAGGTATGATCTATAGAGCCTTCAGGTATGATCTATAGAGCCTTCAGGTATGATCTATAGAGACTACAGGTATGATCTATAGAGCATAGAGGTATGATCTATAGAGCCTTCAGGTATGATCTATAGAGCCTTCAGGTATGATCTATAGAGCCTTCAGGTATGATCTATAGAGCCTTCAGGTATGATCTATAGAGCCTTCAGGTATGATCTATAGAGCCTTCAGGTATGATCTATAGAGCCTTCAGGTATGATCTATAGAGACTACAGGTATGATATTACATATTGTACTGTACATATTAGATATGTGCAGAGTTGAAGCCTTGAAGCACATGCATACAGCTGCAGAGTGCAGAGTGGTTTGACCAAGTTGTGTTTACTCAGAACGCAATGTGAAGCTTTCCTTTAGGAAGGATATTTGCTTTGTATTGGGGGTGCTGTATGCATGCCAATGATGCCAGTTTAGTTTTATCGTCATTTGGAAGATTTAGGCAGCCAACAACATTGTGGTGTATCTGTGACTAGAACATGTTCACCTATTTTTCCATGTTGACATTGATGCACTGATATGATCTAATGCAGGATGTCCTCTCATGACCTGTGGGAGAAAGGAAGAGGGAAAACATTGAGTGAATCTTCCCTGCAGTCTGTTGAATTTGGCACTAACCTCCAGTTAAAAGAAATGATTACCACAGAAGAGCTCTGCTTATAGCATGTCCTGCCATGTTGTCCTGTTATGATACAGAGCTTAGTAAGCCTTAAAGCCAAACAAGTATTTTCTAAAGTAAAGGCGTAGCAGCTTGGGTGTGGCTTGTTACTCCCTCCCTATAGGCCATGCCCCTGTATTGGGAGAGAAATTTAAAGGGCGGGAGGAAGATAATGAAAGAAAGAAAAACAGAAGATGGACAGACGGAGAGATAGAGAGAGACAAACAGACAAGTAAACAGGCAGACACAGACAGAGAGACAGACAGAAATACAGACAGACAGACACAGAGAGTGACAGACAGAGAGACTGACAGACAGAGAGAGAGAGAGAGAGAGAGAGAGAGAGAGAGAGAGAGAGAGAGAGAGAGAGAGAGAGAGAGAGAGAGAGAGAGAGAGAGAGAGAGAGAGAGAGAGAGAGAAATACAAACAGACAGAAATACAGACTGACTGACAGACAGAAAATCCTTACATGACTTCCGTGCGAAAGACAGCCCGAGGCTTTAAGCTGTACTGTAGTGGATATGAACTGTAGCAGGCAGCCAGGCCAGCCCAGGACAGGACAGACCAGTGTTGTTGAGATGGTAATCACTGCATCTCCCTGAGGTATAGTACTCTCTGATTACTTTGGTATCTTTCCCAGTGACCAGATTATGTTCAGAATCAGGGAGGATAATCAGATCTTTAGTGTGATTATTCTGACAGGTTGTGATTGGTTACATTAGTCTGTGCAGAGACAGAGATCATCAGATAGATGTGTCAGATAGATGGTTGCTCTGTGACATACATGATTGACTTGTTTTCGCCAACATCAGTGAGAGTTATGGGCGTATCCATGTTAGATCGTTGACATATCTCTGTCTGTGTTGGTGTGTTAGCTGGCATATCAGTCAGCAGCATGTGACAGCCTGTATGCATCAGAGTGTTGAGTGGCTGGAGCGGATCATTATATAATAAATCAATTGGTTTCCATGGATACTTAGGTGTGTTGTTGCCTTGGAGACCCCAAGATGTGAGGCAATCCCAGGAGAAGAATCGTCATGGAAACGAAGTGGAAAGTGACCAGTGCGCTCTGACGCCACTCAGTGCCAACAGCAGGGGGATAGAACAGACAGGTGAGACTCCACACGCTCACACACACACACACACACACACACACACACACACACACACACACACACACACACACACACACACACACACCAGACTAAAGGCCACAGCACAGAGAAGAGGCTATACAAGCTGTCTACTGTAAATGCTGTGATTCTGCATTATACAGTGATGCATGAACTGTTTCTCTTCGGTGTTCAGAGATGTTATGGCTCTTCTCTTGGACCCTCGACCCTTCTATCAGCATTTATGTATGTGCACAGATAGATTTACATAAACACGGCTCCATTAATCAATGATATGAATGTAAACAGGTTTAACCCAGGTTAATTAGCTCCCTGGCCTGCTCTACTGAGGAAATACTTCTGATTGATTTCTCAATGGTGTGTGGTGTGTGGTGTGTATATGTGTGTATGTGTGTGTGTGTGTGTGTGTGTGTGTGGTGCGCGTGTGTACATGTGTGTGTGTGGTGTGTGTGTGTGGTGCGCGTGTGTACATGTGTGTGTGTGTGTGTGTGCATACGTGTGTGTGTGTGTGTGGTGTGCGTGCATACGTACGTACGTGTATGTCTAAAGACATGACAAATACAGATAAAGACAAGTTATTACAAGTGATTTATGGCATTAAGTTATTAGTTCCACTGTTCCACTATTTCTAAACTAGCCCAGGTAAACATCAACATCATATCATGAGAGGAAAAGAGAGAGAAGGGGAGATGAGGAAAGACAAGAGAAGGAGGGCGAGAGGGAGAGAAGGAGAGATGAGGAAAGACAAGAGAAGGAGGGCGAGAGGGAGAGAAGGAGAGATGAGAGGAAAGATGGAAAGTAGCTGATCCTGTTGATCAGGGTCATTGTGGTGAATGTGGAATTCACTGGATGAGGTGTGCCTGTGTGCATGCTTGTGTGTGTCCTACCTACTGTATGTTAGAATGATAACCATCAATACTCATTGTAATGATTTGTTTTGTTGTTTTTCTCTACTTCTCCCTGCTGTGCCAGTTCTCAGAGAGCTGTAAGGAAAACACCCAGGGCTCAGCATGCGCAGGTAAACACAAGGCATTACCATTTAGTGACAACATTATCGATGACACTTTACTTTGACCCCTCTGTTACAAAGCCTACAGAACACTGTCATTATAATGACATAACACATATTGTTAACAGTCGTGATGATAGTTCAGGTCACCAGTTTGTGTCATTACAGTGTTGCCATGAGCTAACATCAGCTGTCTGCTAATGGCATCTGCTATAGGTCATTATAACAGCGCCATGGAGGCCATATTATGAAGGATTGACTTAAACCATTGCCACATAATCAATGTCAGTAGGAACATTGTGTTATCTGAAAACAACCATCATGAGTGCCTGTTTGGGGAGGAGAAGAAGAGTTGTGTTTCCATGGACATCTCATGTACTTGGAAATCATGGTTGGGGTCAATTCCATTTCAATTCCAGTCAATTCAGGAAGTACACTGAAATTCAAATTGTCTTCCATGCTTTTCAATTTTGAATTGGAATTTGGTTTACTTTCTGAGTTGACTGGAATTTAAATGGAATTGACCCCAACCCTGTTGGAAGTAACCTGTTTGTCCGGAACAAATTCTCTTAATAACATTTCCATGGGAATGTGGTGGCAGAATTTGGGGTGAGCTGTTGTCATTTCTCAAGGGATATGTTCTGTGTTGGACTGTGATGTTATGCCTTTCATAGACTCCTGTTATGTCTGCAGCCTAACACAAGGCCATTGTGTTCCAGAACTGTTGATGCATTGAAATAACTGTTGTGTAAACAACATGATTGTATGATCACCTCCCACTATATCAGGGACAAGGAACCATTTCCTTCTTGAGTTCTTCCCTGTGAAATCAGAGGCGGATCTCCCCTGCAGCTGCTTGTATTAAAGATGTTTCTATTATATCATTAAATAGTCTCTGACTTAATCTTTGGATCAAATTAATCACAACAGGAACATGAGTCCTGCAAAGCTTCAGTTTCAATTAGTACACTATTTGCTTTTCCCTGTCAGATTAAAGGTATTTGTCTCACATGTTGAGCCTCTACCTCTCAATCAATCAATCAATCAATTTTATTTTATATAGCCCTTCGTACATCAGCTGATATCTCGAAGTGCTGTACAGAAACCCAGCCTAACTCTCAGATAGCCTCTAACTCTCAGCCCAGATAGTCTCTACCTCTCAGCCCAGATAGTCTCTACCTCTCAGCCCAGATAGCCTCTACCTCTCAGCCCAGATAGTCTCTACCTCTCAGCCCAGATAGCCTCTAACTCTCAGCCCAGATAGTCTCTACCTCTCAGCCCAGATAGTCTCTACCTCTCAGCCCAGATAGTCTCTACCTCTCAGCCCAGATAGCCTCTACCTCTCAGCCCAGATAGTCTCTACCTCTCAGCCCAGATAGCCTCTAACTCTCAGCCCAGATAGCCTCTACCTCTCAGCCCAGATAGTCTCTACTTCTCAGCCCAGATAGTCTCTACCTCTCAGCCCAAACAGACTCTATCTCTCAGCCCAAACAGATTCTACCTCTCAGCCCCGATAGACTCTACCTCTCAGCCCAGATAGTCTCTACCTCTCAGCCCAGACAGTCTCTACCTCTCAGCCCAGATAGCCTCTACCTCTCAGCCCAAACAGTCTCTACCTCTCAGCCCAGATAGCCTCTATCTTTCAGCCCAGATAGCCTCTATCTCTCAGCCCAGATAGCCTCTACCTCTCAGCCAGGACAGCCTCTATCTCTCAGCCAGGACAGCCTCTACCTCTCAGCCCAGATAGTCTCTACCTCTCAGCCCAGATAGCCTCTACCTCTCAGCCAGGACAGCCTCTATCTCTCAGCCAGGACAGCCTCTACCTCTCAGCCCAGATAGTCTCTACCTCTCAGCCCAGATAGCCTCTACCTCTCAGCCCAGACAGCTTCTACCTCTCAGCCCAGATAGCCTCTACCTCTCAGCCAGGACAGCCTCTACTCTCAGCCCAGATAGCCTCTACCTCTCAGCCAGGACAGTCTCTACCTCTCAGCCCAGATAGCCTCTATCTCTCAGTCCAGATAGCCTCTATCTCTCAGCCCAGATAGTCTCTACCTCTCAGCCCAGATAGCCTCTACCTCTCAGCCCAGACAGCTTCTACCTCTCAGCCCAGATAGCCTCTACCTCTCAGCCAGGACAGTCTCTATCTCTCAGCCCAGATAGCCTCTACCTCTCAGCCAGGACAGCCTCTACCTCTCAGCCCAGATAGCCTCTACCTCTTAGCCAGGACAGCCTCTACCTCTCAGCCCAGATAGCCTCTATCTCTCAGTCAAGATAGCCTCTATCTCTCAGTCCAGATATCCTCTACCTCTCAGCCCAGATAGCCTCTACCTCTCAGCCCAGATAGCCTCTACCTCTCAGCCCAGATAGCCTCTATCTCTCAGTCCAGATAGCCTCTACCTCTCAGCCCAGATATTCTCTACCTCTCAGTCCAGATAGTCCTCTACCTCTCAGCCCAGATAGCTTCTACCTCTCAGCCAGGACAGCCTCTACCTCTCAGCCCAGATAGCCTCTACCTTTCAGCCCAGATAGCTTCTACCTCTCAGCCCAGATAGTCTCTACCTCTCAGCCCAGATATCCTCTACCTCTCAGCCCAAACAGACTCTACCTCTCAGCCCAGATAGCCTCTACCTCTCAGCCCACATAGCCTCAGTAAGCATGGAGTGACAAGCCAGTGTTGACATATGAACACCATTACATGCAACAGTTTGATCTAGGGAAATGCAAATTTCTGAAGTTGCATAACTTTTGGACTAAAAGCAAAATAGGTAAATTGAAAAATCAGTTCAATGGTAGAATGAGATAGTGCCCCATTTGCTGTAAGTTTAAAGCTTAACAGATATGTCCCTAATTGTTGATATCTGTTTAATCTGATTTGACAGGTGAACAAAGAAGCCTCACAATCGGATTATTTAATAGAACCAGCCAATCACCCTTCAGAGGAAGAGAAAGTTACCTCACTTACTGTTAAAGAGGAAGAGGACTCCAAGGCAGATATGTTGTCCTCCACGCTGGTGTCAGCTCTCGCCCCGCACTGGAGTGGCCGAATACGCAGGAACAAGCGGGGTGTGGCCTGCACGGACATTGGCGTGGTTGGCACAGCAACCAGCGAGCCCGGACAGGAACCCCAAGGGAGTGGACAGGAAGTGGGCGAGGGGGGAACGTTTTTGAAGCTGCACGACCCTCTCGGGACTGACTCTGTAGGACAACAGCAACAACAACAGTTTTTGGAGACCCAGAACCAACGTGTTGGGGAGAGGGGGTTGACCCTCGGATCTCAAGCTCATGAGAGGGCTTCAACCCTGGGTAGCAGCAGAAGCACAGTGGGGGGCTGGTCTAAGGGGAGCACCCCCAGCCTCAAACTGGACCAAACAACAAAGGCCCCAGTTTCTAACTCTGTCTCTCTGAATGTGAGGCTGGACAACAGAGAGGTAGAGGGGGGAGTTGTCTTCCCTGTTAACTCCCACCTCTCCATTCTTTCTAAACCTAAATGTACACAGGGGAATGTCACAGGCTGGTCGTCAAGGAGACCAGCCGTCACTGCTGAGTTCCAAACCAACAACCAGTAGCCGCCTTCTCTCCCTGAGGAGGCTCAACACCATTGCTAGCTCCACCCACTCAGAGACCAATGCTCCCTCTATCTCCTCTCCAACCAATCACAGGGATGGAGAGACTTCAGGTCCACATCTCTCTCCAACCGTAAACAATGACAGAGCATCAAAGACAATTAGGGCACACCTTTCCTTAACCTCATCCAATGACGGAGACAGAGAGAGGTCCAAGTTCCTCCCCTATTCAGCTTCCTCCACTTACAGGACAATAGAGAGGTCAAAGCCCCTCCCATTACCAACTTCCAATCACAGAGAAGCAGACACACACAGGACACACCTATTTTCAACCTCGGCCAATTACAAAAACACAGAGGGCACACCCCTTACCAACCGTCCCCAGACTTCCAGGGCATATTCCAACCAAACCTTCCCCAGTAAGCAGACTCTTTTGTTTAGTGGTCTACAGAGACTTTCCGCCTCAGAGAGATCAGACGGAACCACAGTTCCCATCAGAGAAACTCATCTGCCTTCCTCTCCACCATCCCAATATGGCCGCCTGGATTTTCTAAGGAGTCAGTCTCTTCCCAGAGGAACCACACTGAGGTCTACTAGCTGGAGAAAATATACCAGTCCAGAGGACAGTGTGTCTAATCCCAGTTCCACCACCACTATCAACAACAACAACAACAACCACACATCCAGCCTCTCAAGCACTTACAGCAATAATAACACAGGCCCCTGTAGCACCAATGATATCATTAGCGTCAATCCCCAAAGCAGCATCAATAACAACAATAACTTAGTCACCCCCAACAATACCAATCTAAACAGCAATACTGTCTCTGCCAAGCACTCAACTCTGAGCACCCTAATAAGGAGTGATGCTCAAGATATCCCCGACCAGGATTCCTATAGAAGCCTCAAACCTCAGGATTCCCTCAACTCAAATGACAGACAACCACAAAAGCCCTGTATTTTGTCCAATATGCCCCTTAGCTCGAACATCAGCAGCCCAGCTAGTTCAAACACTTGGAGTAGCCCAATAAAGTCCAGCAAGTCTGAAAGTTTCAGTAGGCCATCTAGTTTTAACAACACCTGCTCCCCTCTGACCGTATTTATCCCCAACTCCCACAAGACTCGAAGCAGCCCTGAAACTAGTGACACTCTCAGTAGTCACAGAACCACCTGTAAATCTCACTCCTTCAGTAAGACCAGCTCTTCCAACCAACACCCCAAGAGCACCCCCAAATCTCCTTTGTTGTCCTTGGGTAAAAGCAGAATCCCAGTGGGGGTCCAGTGGGAGAAAAGTCCTCCCAGCCTCAAAATGTACCCTGAAATCAACACCCCTACATCCCTTGGTAGTACCCCGAACCCCTCTTCCAGACAGCTCTCCGTACAAACCAGCAACGCCCCAACATCCCTCAGTAGCCACAGACCCTTCTATAGTTCCTGCTCACTCAATACCACCAGCTCTATGAACCAAACCTCCCACAACACCCCGAAATCTCCACCCCCAGTTGTCAGAAGCCAGATCCCCATCGTGCAAAACACCCACACCCCCACATCCCAACTGCTGTCCCCTAAAACCGCCTACACCCCTACCACAATCCCTCAACAACTCATACTTAAATCCAGCTACGTCCCCAGTATCCCCACCCCCTACACCCGACAGTTGTCCCCAGCCAGCTACACCCTCACATCTCGCAGCTGCACCCCAATATCCCTGAGTATGACCACCACCCAGGACCCACCTACTCCTCCCCTCACCCCACTCAGCGCACCCCCTCTTGGGAAGAGCACGTTCACAGGCAGCCTGGCCCGCTCCCCTAAGAAACACCAGTCCCCGGTGGAAGAGAGGGTTACAGCACATAGAGCATTGCAGGAGTCTCTGGAGCCACAATGCTCTGAGGAAACTAGTAGGAGGCTGTCACAGTCTCTTTCACATCAGAGCCCAGCTGACCTGACCATCTCTACGGCCCCAACCAGGCCCCTCCGTAGTGTAGGGTGTCCCGCCATCTTCTCCTCCCTGAGATTGGGGAGCCCCACCGGGGCTATGTCACCTCTGTCTCCCCCAACCCCCAGGACCACCAAACCACAAGTCTGGAGGGGAGACTCAATGCATAACTTATCCATAATGTCTAATACAATGGTGAAGGAGGGAGGGCAAGCTCTCTCGCGTGTTGGCGACCACACTTCACGGTTCACATTCGACCATACAGGAACAGACTCGACCGCACTAGGACCACAGAGGAAGACCTTTGCCCCTCTCTCCCTTCCTGATTTTGGGAGCTTTTACAAGCCTCGGTTTAGCTCCCCACCCTACACCACCCTCAAGTCTTCACGCAAAACACTGGGTGAGGTCACACATACAACCTCACCCCAAACCCCTCTCTCACCCTCTACCTCACCCCAACGCTACCCCTTCTACAGCCATCGCAGGACTGGGTCACAGGACAGTTCAATGGTTGTGGCCTTGGAAACTGATAGTGTCAACAACAACTCCAAACAGACCAGTCAAGACAATGTTGAGACACTTGTGTACAGGATTTCTCAGGTCGATTCCTCCGCCATATTGGACAGTATTAGGCCTGCACAGCCCCGTTTTCCTCAACACACTCCAGACTCACGAGTCGTCACAGATATCAAGTCAAATGAACTCTCCCGTCTCACCTCTGACCTCTCACAATCATCACAACACAGCCAGGTGATAGGAAGTCCCAGCTGTGAATCATACCAAAGCTCCAATGACAGTGGAGCATTAGACACTGAGAAAGTTGTGTGTAAAATCGAGAGTTTCCCTAAGAGCGCAGTGGCCCCATTACAAACTCAGAGCCCAAAGAAAGTGGCAGAGAAGGGGCAGAAGGGAGGTAACAAAATTGACCTGGTGCTGAGTCGACTCCGGCAGACCTTCAGAGTCAACCGTCTCGATGACGAGAGGAGGAAGAGAACATCCCAGCCTCCCTCTGTCAGCACACCAAGTGACATTAGTGGTCTCACTGACAGTAGCGAATCTAGCGACCGAGCAGAGGAGGACAGAAAGGAGAGATGGAGGGAGAATGGTGGGGTTCTCAAACCTTCAAACTCTTTCTGGGCCGGCAGTGAGCGCACATCAGATACGACTAAGGACAATGTTAGACATGAACACTCACAGGGTTTTAAAGACAATAAAGAGGCTAGAAACAGAGACCAGCCTCATTTTATGGACCTTCCTCAATTTAAGGCTTACAAAGACAAAAGCGTCACTGAACCCAGAAACCAACCTTCTCGTCGAGAGATCAGCCCAACAAGGCGACAGTTTGAAGCTTACAAAGAGGGGAGGATCAGTAGAGCCAGAAACCAACCTCCTCAGAGAGACTTCAGCCCCGTTAGGCATCAACCCTGGGACCCCAGCCACTCTGCAAGCCTCCCTGCCTACAGAACCTCCTCAGGCAGCCCGAGGAACACTTTCTCCATCTTCCACTTCAGCCATGAGGACTCCAAGAACGACAATGTCTTCCACTTCAACCACGAGGACTCCAAGAACAACAACATGTTACTCAGCCCCAGGCTTCCTCAGAGGAAGAAGACCACCTTTCACTGTGAGCCAGGGGAAGGAGGGTTTGGTTCCAGGGTGGGTCAGCGTGGCAGTGAGGGACGTCTGGCCTCCTTCTCCCCCTGTGCTGATCTCAAATACGGTCTGGAGGCCGGACGTTCCATCTCTGTGAGCTCCGTGCTCTCCAGCCGACCTTCTGGTCCTGGACGCATCTCCACCGGCCCCAGGGTCAGCAGTGTCAGTGACCTCACTGACCATGCTCTGACCTTTGGAGAAGAAGTCATGACTTGGGATGACCTCAGGGTCAAAGGTAATTGGATAATACCAACGTGGGACTCACACACAACCACTAGCCACAAAACCACTGGTGACAGCCAAGCTGTAAAAACCCCAGGTGACAGCCAAGCTGGAAATGACTGGTCCGTCATTAGTGACCAGACATCCAAAAATGAGCGCAAAACAATCACAGCTAACTTTATAGCTAACAAGTCTAGATCCAAATCCTTACCCAGAAATGTATCCTGGGGTTCAGAGGTCACTGGCCCATCTCCAACCACCACCTCCACCACCACCAGCCGCATGTGGAATCCCGGCAGCCTGGAGACCTCTCACTTCCTGTGGGATACAGAGGGTCCTGCAACCCCCTCTCCATCCCCTCTCTGGTCCCCAGCCTCCAGACGCATATCTCGCCCCCCCAGCTCCTCCTCCTCTGCCTCCCCCACCCCCACAGATCGCAGGCTGTCACAGGACAGTTTGTCCCCCAGGGGATGCCTACCCTCCAGGGGATACGTCTCTAGCCTGGCTGCCTTCGAGGAGTCCGACTCAGACTCAGCCTCTGACATGGACTCTGACACAACCACAGACGATGAATACTGCCTGGCAGGTGACGGAGGTGAGCAGGAGACAGAGCTGTGAGAGGAGACACTGTATGAGATAACTCTCAATAGTCTAAAGTGGATCTGTATGGCTCCTTTTGGTCTCACCAAATAGAAAGGATACCTATTAAACTACCTATTTGATTCAGAGGTTGAATGCATTCAGTTGTGCAACTGACTAGGTCTCTACCTTTCCTTTCCCTATTTATGCTCAGTAATTCATTGTGATCTGAAAGCCAAAACGGATCCTAGATCAACACTCCTTAACAGACTCCCTGTGAATACAGGCCCTTTTGTGGTAGAGCCCTGCACCTGGTGAAAGGTACACCTACCATACTCAGTATGGGCGGCGTCACATTTAATTGCTGCTTATCAACAGGCTTTAAGACAACATCCTATATGATATACAGGGTAAATATCTTTGATGTTTTAGTTGTAACGGGAATGATTGTCTGTGCTTCTAGTTTGGTTATACTTGAAGGCTTTTCGTGAAATGCATGTGTGTGCATTATAAACAGATCATTGTTATTCAACTTTTGTGAATTACTTTTTGTATATGGTTAGCGGCAGTGTAAAGTAACTAAGTAAAAATACTTTAAAGTACTTCAGTAGTTTTTTGGGGTATCTGTACTTTACTTTACTATTTATATTTTCGATTACTTTTACTTTTACTACACTACATTCCTAGAGCAAATATGTACTTTTTACTCCATACATTTTCCCAGACAACCAAAAAGTACTCGTTACCTTTCTAATGCTCAATCAGGACAGCAATATAACACGCTGCCATCGCTACTGCCTCTGATCTGGTGGGCTCATTAAACACAAATACTGTGCTTGTAAGTGTTGGAGTGTGCCCCTGGCTGTCTGTAAATAAATAAAAACAAGAAATGTGTGCCGTCTGGTTTGCTTAATATAAGGAATTTCATATATAGTATTTACTTGTACTTTTTACTTTTACTCAGGTATGACAATTTAGTACTTTTCCCACCACTGTACTTAAGTACATTTGAAACCGGATACTTTTAGACTTTTACTCAAGTAATATTTTACTGGGTGACTTTAACTTTTAATTGAGTTATTTTCTTTACACAGTCATTTACTTAGTCAATTACTCAGTAATTATATTTCCTTTTACTTATGTATGACAATTGAGTACTGTTTCCATCACTGATCATTAGTTAAGGTATTATGTGGATTAACAATAAACCATTTCTAATTGAGTATCTGCCCAATGTATGATATTTATATCAAACTCAATTAGTATGTCCAACAAGATATTTATATCAAACTATTATATCCAACAAGATATTTATATCAAACTGTTATTTCCAACAAGATATTTATATCAAACTGTTATGTCCAACAAGATATTTATATCAAACTGTTATTTCCAACAATATATTTATATCAAACTGTTATGTCCAACAAGATATTTATATCAAACTGTTATTTCCAACAAGATATTTATATCAAACTGTTATGTCCAACAAGATATTTATATCAAACTGTTATGTCCAACAAGATATTTATATCAAACTGTTATGTCCAACAAGATATTTATATCAAACTGTTATGTCCAACAAGATATTTATATCAAACTGTTATGTCCAACAAGATATTTATATCAAACTGTTATGTCCAACAAGATATTTATATCAAACTGTTATGTCAAACAGATAGTTATATCAACAGTTATATCAACACAGATATTTATATCCATCCACAAGATATTTTATCAACTGTTATATCCACGATATTTACATCAAATGTTATAATTATCCAAACAAGATATTTATATCAAACTGTTATGTCCAACAAGATATTATATCAAACTGTTATGTCCAACAAGATAATAAAACTTATATCCAAAAATAGTTATCAACGTTAATCCAACAAGATATTTATATCCAACAGTATTATATCAAACCCAAGATATTTATATCAAACTGTATTTCCAACAAGATATTTATATCAAACTGTTATATCCAACAAGAATTTATATCAAACTGTTATGTCAAACAAGATATTTATATCAAACAGTTATATCCAACAAGATATTTATATCAAACTGTTATATCCAACAAGATATTTATATCAAACTGTTATGTCCAACAAGATATTTATATCAAACAGTTACTGTATGCTCAACAAGAATGTGTACTGTGACAGTAGTAGTTTGCTTTGACTTTCCCCTTGCATACAACAAGAGCAGGCGTACCAAACCACATTCCAGCTATGATAATGGACCTAGACTAACAATATCGAACACAAAGCCTCACCACATACTTGCTGCTTTAAATAGTGCCTTTAATGAGTGCAGGAGGGTCTATTTAACTGTATTGTACTAAAGAGGGTGTTTTTCTCTGTATTCCAGTTACATGGATGCTGCCTTATGCTGTGATGCAGCTGTTTGTCTGTGTGGATAGGTTAGACAGATTATAGAATGCAGCTAGTCACAGTTCCCTCTGGCCATTTTCTATGATGTCACTTGGGAAGGGACACACATGGCTGCACACCCAGAGCAATGTGTGCAAGCTGCAATGGTTTTGTCATGCATTAGTCATCTTGACTGCAGAACAGAAGAGTCAAGACAAACCCCCAAGGTCCATATTGAAAAGGGCTTTGTCTTCATTTTGTCTTCAATGTGCCTCTTCAAAGCCTGCCTGTTTGTGTCTGTTTCTATAGTGTTTTGCACAGTAATTATTAATAAATCATGCAATGTTATGAAAGTATGGCTCTCAGGCGTCGTTACATAAATATTCAGTGGGTGTAGGTGCTATCAACAGTACTCATGCCGTTTCATACATGCACCTGCTTGTCTTTGTCTCTACACTTTGAAGGACTTCTCCCCACTGCAGTTCAACCTGTCAACACAACATTCGAATGGGTGTCTTCTAATAGTTATTGCATAATGATGGGTTATTTAAAATGTCAATAAAAATTGTCATTTATCAAATCTGATCTTGTCAGTAATGGGCTTGAACATTTTGGCAGAGTTTTGGACTTGAGTGCTGCCATGGTTAGGCCTTCCCTTCCCATCCTCCCTTTCCATCTACCTCACACCCTGGCAAGGTTTCTCTCTCTTTCTCTCTCTGTCTCTCTTTCTCTCTCTGTCTCTCTTTCTCTCTCTGTCTCTCTTTCTCTCTCTCTCTCTCCGGGCGTATCCCCAGAGGTAGGTGGGCATATGCATGGCCACCACTACACCTGCACCACTGGGTGAGATTTGAAGCTGGCAGTGTTGACAGTGACACTACATATACAGTATAGACAGGCACAACACTGCTGTCCTTCCCTGCCTTGTGTGCATTGCTCTGTATATACTAGAGTATAATGACATACAGTATTTTCCTCTTTTTCTAGAGAGGGACAGGGGCAGTGTGTAACGTGTGATTACGTAAATTGACTTTGTATTTGTATAGAATCTTCATTCTCCATAGAGAAGCTGGATACAGAGATCCAGTGTTACGTGAATTATTTAACAAACTATTTTAGTGTCTCTGTGCGTCTCCCAAAAGGTTGTAAGTCTTTTGGGATTTAAGTAACGGCCAGAGTCCCGGTCTGCATAGTCAGAGATATTTATTCATTGAGAATTCTGCCATCACAATTTCAGAGTCCATCTTTTATACTCATACGTCATACAAAAAGAAATCCCTTCCCTCTGTAGGCGGCCTGTAGTTTTCCACTCTAAAACTGCTCTACTGACCTTCAGTTCACACACACACACACACATGCATACACACATACATACACACACACACACACACATATCCTACTCCCTGCTTTACTCAGTTATTGCCGTTCTCACAATATTCTGCACCATGTTTTCATAACAGTTTCTCCCCTCCCTAAATTGGGAGGCCTCTTTATCTTAGTTTCTCAGTTGTCTTTGTTGTCTGGCCTAACTCTTACTCACATTGCTAAATAGTGGCTCAATGCCATAGCCTTTACTGGTCCTACACTCACACATTTCTAACACATTATACACAGTTTCAGGGTGTAATAATTAGTCATTAATAATTAATCTATCAATTCCACCCTTTGACTAAATATTACACACATACAAAATATATGTTGTTATAGAAATGAATCACACTCATTGAAGTATATAAGTTGGTTTGCATATTAAAACATTACAGGTTCATCAGTGTTACCCCATGATTAAAAGCATAACGTTACTTTTTAGCAATGGTAACTAGTACATCATACTTAAAATGAGACTTTAATACACAAAATATCATTACAATAACTTTTAAACTAGAGATTTATAGTTCTAGGAAAACATCCAGTCTCAAATTATCTGGATCGTCGTCGTCCTCCACCAAGCCTGGTAGGTCATATCCTTCAGTCGGAGTCCGGGATTGGGCCGTATCTCACCATCTGTTGGGAAACCGCCTTGCTCACCAACCCTCAGACACAGGGAATAAGACAACATCCACAAAGAACAAGTATACCCATAGTAGCTATAACTTCACCCAGAATAGTTACAACAATAGTTTTCCATTTACCAAATATGTTATCAAACTAACCGTTTATGGAGCTATCAATACCAGAGTTCTCAGCCAGTTCGTTCGCCAGCGTGGTGAGTCCCTGAAGCGCTTTGGTCACGGACCCGTCCGGTGCTGTATTGTTTGGGGATGAAAGTACAGCACATAGATCCAAACAGAACACAAACCCTGTCCCGCTCAGCCAAAAGCATATCTAAAGCTATTCTATTCTGCCATGCTATTAAGCTAGTTGCCGCTGTCTGCTCAACTAATCCCTTTATTGCATCACGAGTGTGGTTTATAAATCTTTGCTGGTTATAGTAAATATCATTCATCCAATCTACGTTTTTATTAATTGTTGACCACCAGAAAAGACTTGATTCAAACCCAGCTGGGATCTGATTCCTAGCTTTGAATTGTTCTGGAACCCCTCGAGGTACTCCTATCCCATCAATATATATATATATCCTTTCATCAAAGGATCCCGGGAGGAGGTTCTACTTTCTACGTGACAACTCACCAGTCTCTGACACGTTTGATTGTTTGCGTATGT